AAAAATAACACAACAAAATGGATTTAACAAGATGGCTATCAGTGTGAAATGGAAACAACAAATAGGTGAATTTGAGGAAATACATAGTGCATAATTCATTCTAATATTAAATTTATTAAAGAAAATGACGATGCTATATAGGATATATACAAAAATACCAGAGGATATAAGAAAATCATAACAGTATTATTGTTTCAAGTCATGATGTGCGAATTATTAATTATTTGACATATGGTAACAATTAAATAATGTATAATAAAGTACAATGTGGCTTGTAAAAATGACTAAGAGGAATTTAAATAAGTTGTCCAAGTCAAAATGTGAGAACATCATATTCCAGATGAAATTTCACTAAATGTTTCGATATAAAGTTTGTCTTTTTTCCGCCCGAATTTTTCGCCTTCGTTGAATTTCCATTATATGCGTTTCGCAATAATGTTTCTCCTCGAAACTATAGTAAGCATCAGTGAGAGGATCACGACATTCCTATATGTTTGATGCGCAAGATAAACGTTTGATTAAACCACGTACATTGTATTGGGACCGATTAAGGGACAAAAAAGGTAACATAATACTTACCGTGCAAACAAAACAGTTAGGATGATATCTCCACCCTTCATCCGTTTCTGCACATGGTCCTTCTATTGGTTCATCACAATCACCACAAAGTGAATTATTAAGCTTATGATAATGTCGCTTACAATACGGCGCATTATCAAAGACATAGAATGATCCATCTGGAAATTCTTTGCTACAAGTCTAAGGAAAAGGAAAAAGAAATAAATTCAGTGACTAGCAAAGAAAAATAAACAAGATATTTTTGAAATTCTTACATGGCAGCTAAAACATTTTACATGCCATTTCCCTTCCAGTTTTCCATCACTTGCGCTAATGGCCTCCCTTTCTACGGGTAAATTACATCTACGACATTTTGGGAAAAACAAATCGGTAAAATCATTTGGGCAATATACTTTGCCTTCCCGTTCAACGTGACCCACATTTGGATCGATGGGTTTTTTGCATTTCGCACAGAGAAGGTGATGAGGATGCCATGATCTACCAAGAGCCCGCATAGGGGAAGAATTAACCTGCAAATTACTTTAGTACAAATAAAAGGATTTCAGTTTTAAAAAAAAAAACAAACAAAAAAATGCCAAAGATCCAAGTAAAGCCTTATAAATACCAATAAGCGCAAATATCACTTGGAACACCTTTTTTCTCAGACGAGCTTGAGTTTTTCGAATGGTTTGATTTCTGTTCGGAATTTCCTTTATTCTGTGCGGAAGGTGCTTGCATATTGTCCATTTCTCTTAGCAAGTCCTCCATCAAATCGTCGAAACCACCCCCAAACGAATCTTTGGAATTATTGGAATTTCCATTATCAATGTGTTTTTCTAAATTGCAAATTATAATT